GATACTTGATATTATAAACACTTATTCTAGTTCCTGGTTGTTTGGAAAATGCTCAGTTCTGATTACTACACAGCGATACTTGATATTATAAACACTTATTCTAGTTCCTGGTTGTTTGGAAAATGCTCAGTTCTGATTACTACACAGCGATACTTGATATTATAAACACTTATTCTTATTCCTAGTTGTTTGGAAAATGCTCAGTTCTGATTACTACACAGCGATATTTGCTATTATAAACACTTATTCTTGTTCCTGGTTGTTTGGAAAGTGCTCAGTTCTGAATACTACACAGCGATATTTGCTATTATAAACACTTATTCTTGTTCCTGGTTATCTGGAAAGTGCTCAGTTCTGAATACTACACAGCGATATTTGTTATTATAAACACTTATTCTTGTTCCTGGTTATCTGGAAAGTGCTCAGTTCTGATTACTACACAGCGATATTTACTATTATAAACACTTATTCTTGTTCCCGGTTGTCTGGAAAGTGCTCAGTTCTGATTACTACACAGCGATATTTGCTATTATAAACGCTTATTCTTGTTCCTGGTTGTTCGGAAAGTGCTCAGTTCTGATTACTACACAGCGATATTTGCTATTAGAAACGCTTATTCTAGTTCCTGGTTGTTCGGAAAGTGCTCAGTTCTGATTACTACATGTATTTCAAGTTCAGCTATTTTTTCTTCTCTTTATAATGAACCAGGAAGGTTAATGGTCATTCATTAGAAATTTCACCGTGTAGTGGCGCTGCCCACTTTATGTGAGAAATTCAGTTTCACCCCAAAATTACCAATGGAGTCCCTTCGGATTTTTAAATATATTTTTCTAAATTATCTATGTATCAAAATGTTTGTTGGTCGATAATTTTTGTGGGTTATGGGATCCCTAAAAACACAAATCACATAAAAATTAGTTAAAAAATGCCGTAAACATTGCAATTAATCCCACTAATTATTACTATTTTTCGTAGAAAATAAGTAATTTCACCCAACTCTTTTTCTTGGTCAGTTCTTTACATTGAATGTTGTGAAACAGAATAAAAAAAATACTTAGTGTGCTGTAATATGTTGAGCCTCCCGGTAATAACAAAGTTGGTAACTGAAGGGTTAATCACATCTGTTGTAGATGTGTAACATCCATGTGTTATCTTATTAAAAAAATGAGCCTGTCATAGCCAGGTGGTTAGGGTGCTCGATTCGCAATCTGAGGGTCCCGGGTTTGAATCCCTCGTCCCACCAAACATGCTTGTCCTTTCAGCCGTGGGGGCGTTATAATGTAATGGTCAATCCCACTATTCGTTAGTAAAAAAAGTAGCCTAAGAGTTGGCGGTGGGTGGTGTTGACTAGCTGCCTTCCCTCTAGTCTTTCAGTGCCAAATTAGGGACGGCTGACGCAGATAGCCCTCGTGCAGCTTTGTGCTAAATTCAAAACAGACAAAAACAAACTTATCAAAAAAGTCTATAGTTTCATCATGAATAATTCCATCGCGTCCTGTTTTCACGTCATCTGTGATTAAAGTTTTTGTCTCAGTGAAAGAAATTTGAACGATTTTTCTTATTATCTATTCGTGAGTTTTCTCGTATTTAACGTTTTTATATGTTTACTTCCGTTATTTGAATAACGTGTTCCAGTCACTAACCCGTTTTACTAAAAGTTTTTACAAACTAATTCCTTGTGTGATTTTGTTATTATACATCCAGTCCTGTGTTTGATTAAACTCTTAACAATTGACTCATGTTTAAACATTGTTTTCTATAGATTTGGCTGCTTCCAGACATTAGGGACGTTCGGAAAAGCAGTGTCCGTCGTAAAACCCTCAATCCCCACTTCGAAGAAGACTTTGTGTTTGATGTTTCTCCAGCAGAGCTACGAGAACGAACGCTTGAGATACTGGTGTATGATTATGACCAATATTCTAGGCACGTTTGTATGGGCAAAGTACATCTCCCATTAGACCGCGTGGATCTCGCAGATAGAATAACACTATGGAAAGGAATAACTCCTTGTGATGAAGTAGACGACCAGGTTTGTTTGTATTATCTTTTATAGACGTGGATTGGCTCTGAGGCAGAATGTATTTCAGAGCTGGCAATTCTGGTTCTAATCCGTGCGATATTTTGAAATATCACCCACACTTCAAAAGCTGTTGGGTGCTCTATAAGAATGACAGTCAGTCACCTAGCGTAGATGATAAGTGGTAGGGTGCTGCTGCTGACTGGCTGTCTTCTCTAGTTCAAAATTAGGGATAGCGGCAAATAGTCATAGGTAGCTTAGCCATAAATATAAAAGACAAATTTTGTCTATTAGCTAGTTTGTTTTAGAGTAAACCCACAATCGGCTACCTGTTGTGTCCTCCGCGAAGAATCGAATCCCGGATTTTAGCGTTGAAAGTGCGCAGACTTACCGCTGTCCCACTGGAAGACTAAAAGACAAATATAACATTTTTTAAGATTACCCATAATCAACGTTATTAGTTTTTTAACTAACAAAAAACACATAACATGTAATTATACACCGGACTGTATTTAATTTTTAATTTTAATATATATTTTTGATACTCACTTGTCATCATGAATTAATATATATTTGTTTGTTTGTTTTTAATTATGCACAAAGCTACACAAGGGCTATCTGTGCTCTGCTCACCACGGGTATCGAAACCCGGTTTCTAGCGTTGTAAGTCCGCAGTCATACCGCTGTGCCACTGGGGGGCTAATATATACTTTCAGCAACCTAAAGATGCTGTGAATCCCCTAACAACAGTTTATGTGAGGATAAAGTTGTATGTAAAACTAAAAATGGAAAACTTTCCAATCAATGTCTTCGATTAAGTATTGATAATTTGTCATATTAGTATAAACATAATTTGGTTGAAGACAATCACAAAGCCTGTATTCGTCCCCGATGGTCTCAGAATAATGCTTGCTATTTGTTGTCCACTACTCCACTAATTTCAAAACTGTGAATTCGTTTTTTCAATGTGACAGTTTTGGTACAGTGTTGTCCTGTGTCATGATGTTAGTACGGTGATGTTCTTGCTGTGTTACAGCGTTAAAATAACGTTATTCTGTGTTGTAGCACTAGCACTGTGTTATGCTTTGGTTATAGTTTTGTTACAGTGTTATTTCTTTGTTATAGCGTTATTACTGTGTTATAGTGTTATTTCTGTCTTATAGCGTTAGTACTGTGTTAACAGTATTGTTACAGTGTTCTTACTGTGTTATAGCGTTAGTATTGTGTTATGTTGTGTTGTAGTGTTCTCTCTGTGTTTTAACGCTAGTAATGTATTATAATGTTATTGCAGCATTCTTTATGTGTTATAGCGTTAGTACAGTATTTGATTTCCGTGTTACAACATTACTACAGAGTTTTCCTTTCAGTGTTAAAACGTTTGGCTATTTTTTCTTGTAAAAACAACAGATATCTCGGGCCATCAGCTACGACGAAACTGTAGTGTTTTCAGTAGTTGGAACCATTATACACAGAATATAATATATGTTTATGGTCTTGAATAAACCACATATGTTTCGGAGTGGAGTTGTGGGTATAAATGGAATTAGTCCTGCGCGATCTGACCACATCACAGTGACTATATATTCTCTTATTTATTGTTTAAATATGTTTTCGATGAAAATAGACCATCCACGTAATTCTATTTGGCATGCTTAAATCCAGTTTATGTATCTCTTTCGACTTACGTTACTGATTGCAAATCTGTTACTTTAGGCAACTAGCCTTAATGGACCTTCTTCCTGCTATTAAATTAATTAAGCTATACATACATGGCGCATTGCAGAAAGGTAGGCATGTCTCGAAATTAAGATAATAAACCTAGATGGGGTAATTTGTCACTTGAATTTATGTTGAAATTCGAGAACTGCCGTTGTGTTAACGGCAGTTACACAATTACTAATCCTATTTAATGCTACGTTAATACACAAACGGTATTTTCTTTATATAAATAATAAAACAGCTCGTTAAAATAGTAGGCTCATTAAGTACTTTTTTTTTTCTCAAAAAATTAGATAACTTCTGTAAGTTGTCAAATCTGTGGCAGTTCGGAGTAAAGTTGGTGTATATGTGTATATAGAGTAGACGAGCTCGTATTTCAGCACCTTCCTTAGATATTTAAAACTTTTCCCAAAAATACTTACTGTTGTTTTCTTTATTTGTTTTTCAGCCTGATATGGGAGACTTGATGTTTTCTCTGGGTTATTTGCCAAGCGCTGAAAGGCTGACCGTTGTTATACTAAAGGCCAGAAATCTAAGACCTGCGGATGAGAGTAAAAAAATACTAGGTATGACATATTGAAAAAAAAAGGCACACTTAACATTTACACTAAAAGCATACTTTTGTTACAGCTATGATGGTTTTTACAGAGAGTTGAGGACGTTATAATAAAATCATTTTGAACATGTAAGTCAAGAAGCCACAAGATAACCATAGCAGATATCAAGTCGTGATGGAATGATGTGTATCAGAACTACATTTTGACATTTTCGGTGTTACGTTGGTTTGTGATGCCACCGAAAATAATCGTTTTTTTGGGAAGAGAATGTAACAGCCCTTTCCGACTCAAAATATTCATACACTCAAACCACAAAGATGTGTTCAGATCGGAGATCTAGAACTTTCGTGGCGAGGATATCCCCTGTGCTTAATGATATTGAAAAACCAAAGAATATGGATCAACATGGGGTATCGGGGACACCCAGAAAGAGACTTGCAAAAGTAGTATCACAGTCATGGTAAGCAAAGGGTTGTTTCATGTATAACAGGTGAAAATCCATGAATACAAAGGTCAATGCTAAAGGCTGTCCACGTGTTTCAGGCAACAGTAGGAAACGGTCACGTGTACACAAGCTCTTTCGATGAAATGTTCATCCAGTCATCGTATACCCCAAGCAGCTGGAGTATGAAACGTAGAGTCTATGGCATTCTATATGTTTTAATTGTTGAAAAGCCACCAAGGAAGAGTGGTGTGCTGTGATAGAAAAATCTCACAAAGGAGCATTTTGCAATGGAAACTACGTTGCAGGGATATTGTCAAGATGCCTACTTGTCAAGTAGAGCATAGTCAGACGTGATGACATGGTCTGTAACGACGTGGTGAAGCTTTGAAATCGTTTTACTATAACACACTCAACTACAGTAGTTTTGTTGTCAACAACAAATTAATTTGTTGTATATGAAAAATATAAGAGTTTCCTGACTTCGAATTCTGCGGATTTTGATGTTCATAATTTATCTCTTGATTATTAGTGTGTTGAATTATTAAAGTCCTTAAACTACTCGTGAATTTTGTATTATTATTATTATTATGTAAGATAAATTAAAAGTGCAAAATTCAAATATAGTCTTTATAGCATGTATGTTTGATCTCAGAAATGCTATTTTTATGTCAAATTTGTATGCATTTATTTTCATTTCTTAAATATAAATATTTATTTTCACTAAAAATTAGTACAATAAAAGGTTAGAATGATGTAAAAAATTCTGCTTATATAGATCACGCAAATTTTAGGAATAAAATACTTTCAATTCAGTAATAAACTAACTTACTGATGCTGGTGAAAAACGTGGAAAATACTACTTTATCTTTTATTTGTTAACTGCATGCTGTCTTAAGTTATTAAAGTGTTTTTTTACCAATCTCCCAATAGATGTCAATATATTAAATTTTCAAAGGATATATGGACTGAAAGTTTGTTTTGCATAACTCTAATAAGCTTATGAATAATTTATAATCACAAAAAAGATAACTTTAAAACGTTTTATTAAAATATATATTTTAGTAGTTTACTATCTATGTTGTTCCTTTACTTTATAAATTTCTATTTTTCAGTGTTTAAAGAACATTGGTAACTTTGAAGTTCAAAATACATACAAATATAAAATTACCACTGTGCGCGATAACAGACCTTCTAGGCTACAATGTTTGGATATTCTGTTATATATATATATTTTACTAATTTAAAGGTTTATTCAAAGTAACTTGAGACGTTTCGTACTGGATTTTTTTTCTTTCTTTATGTTTTGTTCTAACATTTTTTTTTATTATACACAGATCCGTACGTGAAAGTGTCATTGTTTCACGACGGGAAACGATGCAAAAAGAAAAAGACTTCAACGCAGAGAGGAACCATTAACCCCGTTTTCAATGAAGCCTTGACATTTAACGTAACAAGGGAAATCTTGAAGACTGTTACACTCGAGTTCACCGTAATGAATGACAACATTCTAGGACAGAAAGAAAATCTGGGAAGCGTTGTGATTGGTCCACAATCGAAAGGAGACGAGGCAGCTCACATGAGAGATATGATAGCCTCTAAAACAGCAGTGGCGATGTGGCATTCGTTAATGCCTTCGCGGTCAGATCAGGTTTTCTCAATTTCGGGGAAATAAATTACCGAACTATGACCTTGAAGCAAAACACACACACACATTAACGAACCAACGTTTTTACATTTAGTACATATCAGTTCGTATAAGCCTCTACTTCAATATATACGACATTAAATATAAAAATTCAGCTCGACCAATGAGGCGTTTTAAATTGCTACAACCTATCACTACACTATACACACAGAACTAATGATATCAATAAAGTATTCTAAACGTGGGTTAAACTGACTATAATTTTACAAACTATTACCCCACAACACACGGAGCTAAACCATAACCTATCACTACACTACACATACACAGAACTAATGATATCGATAAAGTATTCTAAACGTGGGTTAAACTGACTATGATATTATAACCTATCACTGCACTATACACTCAGAACTAATGATATTGTTACGTCTCCGTTTGTTAATTGATTTTTCCGTAACTTCGTTCCGACGAAACTTGCGACACAAGTTCTTTACTTAATAAACTGATTTATTCTTTCCGAATATAACTTTACCGATACACTCAACTTCAACAATCGCGTTAAAACAAACACTAATCAACGAACGTCAACAATACTTCCGACTGCAGTTCAGTTACTCACTATCTATACACACATCACAACAACCTCACCTTACCGCGTCACGTTTTCCCCTCTTATATATACCAGCCTACCCTACTAGTAAATACTAGAGCATTCGCCAAAGTACATGATAATTCTAGAAACGTTGCGTCACTGTAGTCATGTGACTCGCTGACGCAACAATATCAATAAAATATTCTACACGTGGGTTAAACTGACTATGATATTATAACCTATCACTACACTATACACTCAGAACTAATGATATCAATAAAATATTCTACACGTGGGTTAAACTGATTATAATATTATAACCTATCACTACACTATACACTCAGAACTAATGATATCAATAAAGCATTCTACACGTGGGTTAAACTGACTATGATATTATAACCTATCACTACACTATACACTCAGAACTAATGATATCAATAAAATATTCTACACGTGGGTTAAACTGATTATAATATTATAACCTATCTTCTGCTCTACCAATCGAAATGAACGAATTCACATTATTCATTCAGGTTAAAGTGAATATAATGTTAAATGTGTTTATTCCATTATACGGTAACGTATTGTTAGTAACAGTGGTGTTAAACAGTTTAAACGCGCCTAGGTTTATAATATAAATATGCTCTTGACAACTGTTATGGTGTGTACGTTATTTATTAGCGAAGCGTGACTATAATCAATTATATTTGTCATAAGACAATAGTAATTCTTTTTTCGGCCCGGCATGGTCAGGTGGATAAGGCGCTCGACTCGCAAACTGAGGGTCGCGGGTTCGAATCCCCGTCCCACCAAACCGTGGGGGCGTTATAATGTAACGGTCAATCCCACTATTCGTTGTTAAAAGAGTAGCCCAAGAGTTGGTGGTGGTTGGTGATGGCTAGCTGCCTTCCCTCTAGTCTTACACTGCTAAATTAGGGACGGCTAGCGCAGATAGCCCTCGTGTAGCTTTGCGCGAAATTCAAAACAAACACTTTTTTTTTCTCGGAAGGTAGCGATTACAGAATGTAGTGTTTAAGAATACAATACGCCTAATACAATTGTCGTATGACAAATATAATCATGTTCTTGTCATGTCAGAATACAAAGTTTGTCTGAAATTCATTCTATTGTAACCATAATATCAAATATTGGATAATTTTCTTTTTTTTTTTTTCATTGGAGTACCTTAAAAAGGTATAACATCTTTATTAAGCTTGAGAATTTTCGTAGTAAGAATGTTATTTAGATTTCAAACATTGGAAACCGTATGAAATGTCTTGTTAGCTTGTATTCAGGTTGCCCAAGTCCAATACCTCAATGTTTCTTTAGAAACAATATTTTTGGCGATAATTTAACACTACTGTCCTTTTACGTAAAAAACAAAAAACAACACTTACCATGAAAAGACGGACAAAAAACTCACGAACAAGAATATCATGTCAAAGCATAAAAGAAATTTAAGTTATAAATATTCTTAAATGGTATTATATTGTGTAAATATATTTATTATTATTTTAGTTTTTGGCGTTAGATTTTATATTGCCGGCTTTAAAGAATGGTGACGTATTCACATTGTTTAATAAGTGATGTAGAATGTTACGCCTAAAATTGCGGGCTGTAACCTATATCTTATCATAGTGTGTTGAACAAAACCGTAACTGCGAACGAACAATATCTTGTTTATATTCTGTTGCCTCGTGCGTAAGTACTGTTGCCTCGTGTGTAAGTAGTGTCCAATGTATATTATTGTAAATAGTAGATAGTAAACCACATTTTCAGTATTGTTGTAAATGACGATTACTCCAAACGATTACTCGAGTAAGGTATAAGTGAATAACCGTTTATATACATTACGCACAGTAGTAATATTTTATTTTCCCATTTAAGTCGTACCTAGAATACATGTGTAAATAACCATACTTTATTAGTACATATTTTCTAATATTTGTTCCATCTTAACAGGTTTTATATAGAGATTATTTTTATAAGGTCATTTTCAAGGAAAATTATCCACACCATGATTATACCAGTCAACATCAAAGTAGGTAAGTTTACCTCACTTCTTTGTTTATTTGTTTCAGTGCAAAACCACATTGGGCTATCTGTTACGTCCACCGCGGGGGAATCGAACCCCGGATTTTAGCGTTGTAAGTCCCTATCAGGGCACATTAAAAAAGAAAAATATATAGATGGTTGTAACACAGTAAAATATTTATTCCTTTTTTGCAAGTCCACGATGGTTGTAACATAGTAAAATATTTATTCCTTTTTTGCAAGTCCACGATGGGTGTAACACAGTAAAATATTTATTCCTTTTTTGCAAGTCCACGATGGTTGTAACATAGTAAAATATTTATTCCTTTTTTGCAAGGCCACGATGGTTGTAACACAGTAAAATATTTGTTTATTTTTGCAAATCCACGATGGTTGTAACATAGTAAAAATTGTATTCCTTTTTTGCAAGTCCACGATGGTTGTAACACAGTAAAATATTTGTTTATTTTTACAAATCCACGATGGTTGTAACATAGTAAAAATTTTATTCCTTTTTTGCAAGTCCACGATGGTTGTAACACAGTAAAATATTTATTCCCTTTTTGCAAGTCCACGATGGTTGTAACATAGTAAAATATTTATTCCTTTTTTGCAAGGCCACGATGGTTGTAACACAGTAAAATATTTATTTCTTTTTGCAAATCCACGATGGTGGTAACATAGTAAAATATTTATAGCTTTTTGCAAGTCCACCATGGTTGTATCATAGTAAAATATTAATTCCTTTTTTGCAAGTCCACGATGGTTGTAACATAGTAAAATATTTATTTCTTTTTGCAAGTCCACGATGGTTGTAACAGTAAAATATTTATTCCTTTTTTTGCAAGTCCACGATGGTTGTAACCACGATGGTTGTAACATAGTAAGAATTTATTCTTTTTTGCAAGTCCACGGTGGTTGTAACATAGTAAATTTTTATTCTATTTTTGCAAGTCCGCGATTGTTGGATGTTCAGTAATTACTCCTCAAATTGAAATAAGAAAAGCTACTTCGTGGTATATGTTATCTGATTCCCACAATATTTTAAATCTTATTACTTCGAGACGTATAAGGCAATGTTAGAATGAACTGGCTCGTGTGCTAACTAGTAGAAATGTCACCGAGACTTGGTAGTGCGGGATTTATTTCTCAAAGTAGATTTAAATGTCATGAAGTAAAAATAAAAACAAAAAAATGTATGTTTTTTTTCTTTTAATTTGTTTTTCTATGCGTTTTGTAAACTACGTAAAGTATGCTAAAGTTAAACAACACTAGTTTCAATATGTGGCTTTATGTAACTATAAGACACAATAAACATTTGCTAAAAAGCTTCTACAACACAACAAATAACTCTTTGTAATCGACTTCAAACTAACTTTATATTTTTGGTTTTCATTTAATGTTATGATATTCATGTTGGGAATGAATTTATACGTAAACTCGGAGCTACCAGGTTAGTCGCCTTTTCAGAGGTTTGTCCCGGTGGAAAAACGCTAAAATCCGAGGTTCGATTCCCCGTGGTGGACACAGCGTATAGTCCAATGTAGCTTTGCTCTAAAACAAACAAACAAAGAAGTGCCCAAGGATATTTCTTTAAAAATAACTAACTATCCATTTCTACACCAACATGGTAGCTAATTTATATGTGTGTGTGTGTGTTTTTATTGTTCTAAAGCTATTTTACCTTAAATCACCATATATATTCCTATTATATAAAACAAATAGATCAAATTTGTTTACAATGTAATATGAAAGTACGTTGAAAAGTTTAAATTGTACGAAGCGGTTCGAGATAGTTTGGGATCAGAACTAGTTGATCCTCAGCTGGAAAAAGGTTGGGGACCAATGAGTTTAGGAATACAGTTATTTATAGGGTAGTGCTGAAAAAAAGCCGGGGGTTGATTTCCCGCAGTGGACACAGCAGATAGCTGTGCAATGACGTAGTGATTGATAGAGAGAGAGAGGAGAGTGATGGAGAACACACCTAAGTACAAGTTTCGTGGATTCAACATTGATTGTTTTTTGGTTGTTGTTTTTTTTTCTGATTGTACCAAAATACACTTTTTGTTACGCTTGTTTTTTATTTTATTTTTTTTATAGGAGGAGGAGGAGGGCCCTGTTTTAGGCTATAAAAGATATGGTAACCTTAAACTCGGTAAATATCGCATACAAAAATTGTATGAATTGGGTTAATGTATTTTCAGGTGGTCTACGTTCTCTTAAGAGTTAGTTGTCTTATATGCGCATACAGGGGCGGGCCATGAGTTTTCAAAACGGAGGGATTCAAATGAATGGATGTCGGAGCGTCAGAAAGGAAACGTGTTCCCTCACTCCCCGTCTAAAATGCTGAATACTTTTAACATTTGGAATTCTCTAAATCCAGTTCTTGACACTTTCCATTGACTTTGTCAGTCATTCCTACAATTCATTGGCAAATTAGTAAAAATAAATCTGAATGACCAATACTTTATGGTACCATCGAGAGAATCTCTTCCTTAATTTGATGGCCCGGCATGGCCAGGTGGTTAGGGCGCTTGACTCGCAATCTGGGGGTCGCAGGTTCGAATCCCCTGTCCCACCAAACATGCTCGCCCTTTCAGCCGTGGGGGCATTATAACGTGACGGTCAATCTCACTATTCGTTGGTAAAAGAGTAGCCTAAGAGTTGGCTGTGTGTGGTGATGACTAGCTATCTTCCCTCTAGTCTTTTACTACTAAATGAGGGACGGCTAGCGCAATATCACTCGTGTAGCTTTGCACGAAATTTTAAAACAAACAAACAAATCCTTCATTTGCGGAGGCGACTGTTAGAAATAGGTTCGTGAAGTGACTCCCGGAATTAAACTATATTAAGCGCTATTCACTGATGAACTATAGAGAGGGATGGAATGTTCGATGGTCAAATAA